CACTAGATAGTGCATCTAATTATTCTGCAATTCAAAAATTGAAGCCGTGATTGCAGTCTCAGGTCGTTCCCATGAAATGAGAGAAGATTCGTATATTTTCTATTTCTTAAACAGGGAACTTAAATATTAAGTTAACCATATTCCAAATACATTTTTAAAGTATCCAAATGATGAAAGTTATTGCTGTTTTTAAGTGTTTATTAGCGAGTGGGAACGACCAACATGGCCGCCATCTATTCAAATGGGGGTAACCGCTGGAATATTCTTGGCTTCAATTTTAGTAAAAGAGATGCGCTATCTAGTGTATATAAGATATCTATGGTATTCGTGTATCAAAATAAAAAGTTCGTCGCAAGTCAACTACGGAAGAACTAACCAATCAACATTCACGAAATTTTGAAATTAAAAACGTTTTTGATACGTTCGGTACGGTACGCTTGAAGTGGAAAACCGGCTTAAAACTAATTTGCAGGATAGGCTGAGTTCTTGTATACTTTTTGTGGGGTTAGCCTCTATACAGAGGATGTTACACGGCGGCGCGAAGATATGACTTTTATCTTCGAGTGGTGAAAACAATATTTTACGAACGAGCGCAGCGAGTGAGTAAAATATTGTTTTTAACACTCGAAGATAAAAATCATATCTTCAAACCACCGTGTAATATTCTGTTAATTTTATATAGTCCCAAGCAAAAAAATTGTGAAATTTCGCGCTGAAAAGCAAACTGGGAAATGTCACGTGATCGATATCTTCACTAGTGAAGATATGGAAAATATCTCACTGTGTATTTCTCAGTATCTCACTCTCTACTATATATTAAAGTTGGCTATCTGATATTTATAATTTTTTCTGTGTTGGTGTTGTGTACTCGGGTTAATATGTTTGTGATGCTACTCTGAGTGTATATCCACACCGGGCGAGCTTGAAAAATATGCCCGGCCACGCTGGAAATCGAACCTACGACCTTTGGAATACTAGCCCAATGCTCTGCCAACTGAGCTACGCGGTCAGGTCGGTTCGAGTAAGTGATATTTCGAACCGACCTGACTGCGTAGCTCAGTTGGCAGAGCATTGGGCTAGTATTCCAAAGGTCGTAGGTTCGATTCCCACCGTGGCCGGGCATATTTTTCAAGCTTGCCCGGTGTGGATATACACTCAGAGTAACATCAGAAACATCATATTCACCCGAGCACACAACACCAACACAGAAAAAATCATATTACTAGATTACATTGGTATCGAAGGAACTAGATTCTGTTCCGAAATATCACTTACTCGAACCGTCCTGACCGCGTAGCTCAGTTGGAAGAGCATTGGGCTAGTATTCCAAAGGTCGTCGGTTCGATTCCCACCTTGGCCGGGCATATTTTTTAAGCTCGCCCGGTGTGGATATACACTCAGTGTAACATCACAAACATGATATTTATAGCCTGGTTATTTTCGAAAACGACGCACTATTTCGTAAAACTGATTTAGTTATTTGCCAACTTAAATCTTGAAGTTATTATTACTTTCTGGTCATATGTTTAAATGAGTTCTAAATTTTAGGTCTCAGTCCAGTTCAGTAGCGCTCAAACGAAGCCAGGAAAACCTGTGAATGTGAACGTGAAAGCCTCGCCATTTTCTCAAGTTGGGCTGTTGGCAGTTGACAAGAGTGTTCTTTTGTTGGATAAAGGAAACGATTTCTCCGTGTCTCAGGTTGGTGTTGTGTAGTGTCGTCTTGGTAGCGCAGTACGTTTGCCTTTATATGCATGTCATATTTTGTGGCAGGTAACAGCAGATTTATTATTGAAATGTGGTTTTAGTTTTGCTCCCTACCATTACATATGAGTCACAATTTAAGAACAGTTATTATAAAATAACATGTATATAACGCGTGGTCTGATTGGTCCAAACCCGTGGTCAACCGTGACCCTGCACAAGGTACAGTACAGGGATGGATCCAGCATGATCTGGTAGGGGGGGGTGCAAATTTTTATAGGGACCCCTATTTAAAAAATTTTTCCGGAAAAAAATTTTTTCGGAGAGCAATGAC